ATTGCGTTTATATCATTTTCCATGGCAAGGATATGAGGATACAGGTCCAGTGATGGTGTAAACAGTGCAATGATGAAGAAAATGTACATCCGACAATTGTATTGACTTTGCTCATATATATATATATAATTTTTCTTACCCCTTGCAGTGTCACTCTAGGTGCTTAAAAAAAAAGTTATGCTCATCTCAACCGCCTAGCCCGGCTGTGTGTCTGTCTTTCTGGTCTCCGGAGCCTGCCTCCTCCTATGCTGCAGCATTGCAATGTTACTCAACGTCCTCACGCTTATATACTGTGTATAGAAGTGATGATTTATGGGACCCTAGACCGCTGCAGAGGAGGGGTAGAGAGGCTCCAGGGACTAGTCTAAGACCAAGCCAGCTCTGAGGATCAGGTGAGTATAACTTTTTTTTCCCCCCTTCAGCACCTAGAAAAAAGCGAGCACTTACTTAACCCATGTAGTTCAGGGGTAGCCCCACTGCAAGGGCTAAGAAAATTTTCCCTGGAGTTCCACTTTATAAAGAAATATACATTTGGAAAATAGATCAGCTTGATTTAGATAATCATTTGATCTGTGTAAAGGTTTTAAAATCTTGTTTCTGTGTATGGTTTTCTAATGATAAGGGCAGGTGGGCACCATGGGCTTCAATGGCATGTACCCGTACTATAGGAGCAATGTCCTATTCAAGTCTATGGGACATGCGCAGGTGTGGGGAGTCTGGTTGCAGATTTTTACAGGATGGGATGTAGACAGCTCAGGAGGCCGCTGCCATTGCAGGCAGTGGAGGAGGATGGGTTCAGTGTGTTGGGCAGCATGAGGGATTTGTAGTTAATGCACAGCTGGAGGGCTGAAGCAGCCCACTCCTACTTTATTCCTTATCTGATGGATTACACGTGTTTGCCGTCATCAGCTTTCCCCTAGATCTTACTTTTCCAGAACCATATTTATAGTTCCTTCCCAAAATGCTTTTGACATGTTGATTTGGACCTCAGCGCAACCTTTACCTTGTATAAACAAACTAGTTTCCATAGACTGCGCTTTCCAATTGCAATCACGTGTGTCTTCTAATTCATTTCATTTGTGTTCCCAGAGATTCCAAGAATAATTTTGTATGTTCCTTTGAATGCCTCAGAGTACAGATCTTCATTTTGCTACTCCCATCAGGCTTTTTTATGTTTAGACGATTAAGCGGAACTATACTCGCCTACAATCCAGCGAAGCAACATTCACAAGCTCCCTCGGTGGCACCCACAACTTTGCCCAGTCTTTTTCTGGTTTTAAGATCATTGGCCATCTTGATTGGCTGTGTCGTCTTCTGGGTTTGAGATATTTGGCCATCTTGATTGGCTGTGTCATCTTCTGGGTTTGAGATCTTTGGCCATCTTGATTGGCTGTGTCTTCTTTGGGGTTTGAGATCTTTGGCCATCTTGATTGGCTGTGTCTTCTTTGGGGTTTGAGATCTTTGGCCATCTTGATTGGCTGTGTCTTCTTTGGGGTTTGAGATCTTTGGCCATCTTGATTGGCTGTGTCTTCTTTTGGGTCTGAGATCTTTGCCTATCTTGATTGGCTGTGTCGGGACGTTGTAGAGTTTATTCATCCTGGCATATTGCAAAATTGTACACTTGTACATGGAAAAGATGGCGGACAGGCAGATAAGGATCCTTTTTGCAGAAGAGACATATTTTGCCTCTTCCGAAATAAAAAGCCTGCCGGTAAGGAAATTTTTTTTGTAAAGTTCCTCTTTAATATCAGGGTTTTAGTACTCTACGCAACAGAGTAAGTGACAGACATATTTGGTCATAACATTGGTGAATTGCTTACTAACCATCGTTGTCTGCTGAAAGAGTTTCAATAGGGTCTTACTAGGATGCTGAAAAGTGATGTCATTGCAGTTGTAGTCCATTGCTTCTTCCTCCCATCCCTGTTACTGAATGTCTGTACCTCGGTACAAAGGATGGGAGGAAGAGTCTGCAGGAGCCAGAACATTGCACCTGCAATCCACTTATCTCGGTCGCAAAGCTTTAGTGGTTCCAGTGCAAAAAAAATAAATGCACATTTTTGCTTTTATGAATGCTTGTGCATTTATTTTTTTCCAAAAGGTAGCCTTTGCCTTTCGGCCTTGTCTCTTCTTACCGTGTTCTGGTGCAGTAACAGTACTGGTGCTGTCCAATGTCCGACCGGCTGCTTTTTATTTGCCTAGCAACAGCAAATCTCCGATTTGCAAGGTATAAAAGCCATACGCAATGTTTTCTCAATAAATAGAGCATTTCCCAGGGTAATGCGATCGCTTCTCATAATTTTCGGTAAATTTAGAAGGCATTGCATAGGCGAAGCATTTTTATTTCAATAAAAATTGATTTCTTAGCAGTGTGATGTGTCCCAGCGGCCGAGGCCTGTGTAATTTTGCTCTTTACTACCCTCGCTGTTATGTGTTGTTTGCCCGAAGGAGGAGAACTGTGCCAGAGAATGGAAGTGCTGATTATTATGATTAGCTTGTTTATTGCATTAAGTGATGCAGCATTGTGTAAAAAGGAACACCACTGGTAGGCCTCACCTAGAGCATTAATTACGGGTTGTATACAAAAAGGATTGCTTTACACTTAAGCTGCATCAGCGTGAATAGAAAAGCATTGCTTGAGCACAGTTGTTTTACCAATTGATTAAACCTTCCAAGCAAATAGAAAGAACGCCCTTTAGTCCGGTTATGTTTTCATTAAAGCTGAAGTGCGCACTTGTGTGAAATTTAATCATGCAGTAAGACACCCCCCTCCTCCACCACATACACGCACACCCACTGCATGGGTTAAATGCTTGTTTCGTCTAGGGGTTGCTGAATAAGTACAACTACAGAGCACATTCTTTGCTCTCGCGTCATCCAGTGCTCTTCTCTGGTCTCGGGCGCTCTTTGGATGTTGGCAGGCCCTCGGCCTCTTCATGCATCCTACAATGCAGGAATGTTGGTACATTCATGTTGTCTTATGTTCCCACTGGGATGCTTTTTCTGGGGACAACTGTCTAAGGCTACATTCATACTTACACGTCAGGCCTCGTTCACACCATCCTCAGTGCGTTCCGGCCCGATTGTGGCCGGAACGCACTGGAGCGCATTGTGACTGGCTCAGTTTGTTGTGGGGCGGGAGGGGTGGTGCATTGAAGTGAATGGCACTGCAGCCACGCCCTCCAGCTGCAATGCGATCGGCTGCGCAGGAACGGTCACATAAAATAGTTTTCGCAGCATTGTTTCTGACCGGACCGTAGGCATTGATGTGCCTTGCGTTCCCGTGCGGCCAATCGCATTGCAGCCGGAGGGGGTGGCTGCGGTGCCATTCTCTTCAATACACCACCACGCAATGCGATCCAGTGCGTTCCGGCCACAATCAGAACACACTGAGGATGGTGTAAACGAGGCCTTAGGTGCGATTTGGTATTCCTGCATCAGGTACTTGTGATTTCCTGCAGCCGGGATCTGAAAACTGCCGTATGCAAGTGGCAGCTGTCAACCGTTCAAGTTAATGATTGGGTGACAGCAGCAGAACGCTGGCACACAGCATGTAATCATATGTATTGTATCCGATATTATATTTCACCTTGATATTACAGCATTCGTTGCAGTAGTAAAGTAGTTTTTATTGCTGTGATAGTATAATTACTGAGGTTTAGGGTTAATGTTTCACCTTAGGTAATGCATAAAGCACATCTCTGAACATCTACTGTATTTTAATAGTACATTCCCTTTGAAAGAAAGGCACTGTGCAATTTTTTTAAATTAAAAGCGTTTTAAATCAAGTCAAAGGGCTGCTCCCGGAGTTACATGTTTCACATACCTGAACTTGAGCACTCTTGTATATGAGCAATGTCCAGACTCGTCCAGATAACGTATCCTTATATTTATTACTTACCTATATCAATAGCTCCAGGGGTTGTGTTTTGTTTAAGCTTAAAAAGAATGTGAGGTTGAGAATAACGTGTCTTAGTAATCGATCCTGAGATATTTAAAGCCCAATTCAACCTTAAGTTTAAATCAGCTAAATATATTCCAGGTGCATCAAAAGTCTGAGGGCCCATTCACACAGGATCTGTTGCATTGCGATCACTTTTTCAGAGAATGCTTACGGAAGGGCACTGAAAAATGAATTTGTGTGAATGGGGCTAGTTGACACCGCTCTGTTACGTTACATTGCGCTGAAGTAAAACGTACACTACTATTTTTCCGTGCAGCGTAACACGCAAAAGATCCGGTGTGAACTAGCCCCATTCACACCCATTCTTTTTTTTGTGTTCCCTTCCGTTAGCATCCGTTGCAAAACAGATCGCAACACAATGGATCGGAAGGTACAATTGCAACACAACAGACCTCCCAATCTTGGTGTGAATGCACACTTACAGTTTTCTTTACAAAGCAGCCACAGCCTGAGTAGTAAACCTGTCCGCTGCCAGCAACTGCAGATTGGGACCCATTAGGGAAGCAGTGGTTTTATTGCAGAGGTTCAAAGCGCCCCCTACTGAGTTAGACCTTGCTTTGTATTGCCATGCTTTACGAGGACCTTGCATGAAAAGGCAAGAAACAACCCAACCCTCATGTAAAAGGCTGAGATAAATTCCAGAGAAACAACATTTCAAACATTAGGAAAGAACTTCTTGCTGTTTGCTCTGTAAAAGTTCCGCTTATTCTGTTCCTATATAACTTCATCACATTGGATTTGGTCTTGTGTGAACCCCATATATGTGTGCTCAAGCTTTAATAAATCCAAAGGCTCTGCTTGGGCAGCATGTTGTAACAGTTACTATGATTTTACACAGAAGCTACTCATCATATGAAATAAAACAGTTCTTGCAAGGAGAAGTCTTTGATATTTGGGTTCTGGGTAACTTATTTTATGACTTGCTGAATTTGCATGTAGTGTTTTACCACATAAAATGGTTTTTGTTGTGTTTAGTATTTCAGTTGTTCATGTATGATTCATCGTGCGTGTTGTAATCAAATATTTTCACTTTTTCCAGGCCTTAGATCAAGACAGAGCTGGGTTACAGAAAGTGAAAAAGTCTGTAAAAGCCATTTACAATTCAGGCCAAGGTAAGTGCTGATGGTGACAAACGCCTTCATAAAGGGGAATGCCTCATTTGCATATATATTTTAATTACATTTTTACGAGTATTTTTGTAAGCCTATTACATTTAAAACAACTGCTTATTACACTTAGGCCCCATTCACACTGAGCGACATGAAAATCGCGCGACTTTGAGCGATATTGCGCAACTTTTTCCTATTGGGCTGTATGCAATCAGGAGCAATATCGCTCAAAATCGCTCGAAAAAAGGGTCATGTAGGAGCGACAAGCTACCAGCGACGAGCTACAAGCGATATTGAGCGACGAGATGCGAACAGCTCCATTGAAATGGATTGCAGAAGCTACATAGAGCGATATCGCGTGGAAATATGAGCGATATCGCTGCAAAAATCGCTCCATAAATCGCTCAGTGTGAATGGGGCCTTAATATATATTAGGGATGCACCGATACCAGTTCAGATACCAGTGCCGATACTTGGCATTTTCATGAGAACTACCAGGGTTGCAGGGGTTGCAGCTGGGACCGGGCTCTGGCACTCCACCACTGTCCTGAAATCATTACTCTGTATTGTTTTAGAAAAACTGTCACATGACAATACACAAAAATGTATCAGTACTTGTATCTGTGAGGACTTGGACAAGTATCAGTAAAAAATGCTATCGGTCCATCCCTTATATATATTTAAAAAAGCAAAATCATACATTAAAACAGAGATGTACAAATCCCGGGAGCACCGTGTGATTACAAATGACAGCTGCCTCCTAACATTTAAATTTTTCTCTAGTCTAGTCCTAGAGCTGGAGAAGTATCTGTACTTGTACTTGTACCGAGGATAGTACTTGGTATCGGTGCATCCCTAAAATTTCAAGCCAGCAAGTGGAACTCTGGACTGGCTTATTTTACTGCTTATACAAACATCAGTTTAAAATGCATAAACTAAAAAAAAAAAACACTGAAATTACCCCAAATCATTATGGTTTCTAGGTTTTTAAAGGTAAAATGACATGTTTTTATTTTCATAATTAGACATTTTTCTGTTTTAAGCATTGTTGTACATTTAAAGTGACACTAGACTCAGGAGTTAAATCTTAAAAATGCATCCAAGTACCTTAACTATTAACAAAAATGGGGGGAAATTATCAAAACTGGAGGAGACAAAATCTGGAGCAGATTTGCACTGCAACCAATCAGCTTCTCTGTCTCATTTTTTCAAATCTTAACCGACCAAACTGAAGAGAGATGCTGATTGGTTGCCATGGGCAACAGGTCCAGATTCTGCCTGCTCCAGTTTTGTATCATCTTTGTGTATCACTCGGCTTTAGATCCTCCACTCATCTCTGAATTGGTGCTGACACCGTCCTTCCTTCTGGAGGGGGGCTACTACTGTTCCCCATGGTCCCTGTGTGTGTTGTAAAGTAGTCACCGCTCCAAGCTCGCTCCCGTGATGGACTGCAATCTCATGTTTAGTTTACTAATTTGTGTTGAGCTTGGAGCGATGACTACTTTACAACACACACAGGGACCATGTGGAACAGAAGTAGCACCCTCCAGAAGGAAGGACAGTGTCAGCACCAATTCAGGGATGATTTGAGGATCTACAGCCGAGTGATACACAAATAAGATAGTTTTGTTAATAGTTAAGGTTCTTGGATGTATTTTTAAGGTTTAACACCCGAGTTTAGTGTCACTTTAAAGGAATTCCATCAACATACAGTATATTCTGTTGCCTTATTTTTAAAGGTCCAAGTTCCCGGGATGGTCATTTCTACACATAGTGAGTCACTGACCCTGAACAAATATGTACGTAGCTGATGTTTCCACACAGGATATGCTCATGCATGTTTTTGATTGCTCACTCACTATGTTGTGAATGAGGAATAAGGATGATGGCCCTGGTGCATGGTACCAGCAAAACAAGACCGCTATAGCATCTGTTGTATTTTTGTGCTCTGCAGGTTCCTTTTTTAAGGACACTTTCCTAAGAAGTTCAGTAATGCTGTAAACGAGTCACCCTTCCTCATTGGTTTCCTCAGAAGTGCAAAAAGCAAGGGCACTGTCTATGTCTCATACTGTGATGCCATCTGAAGTCTAGATACTTGCTAATGGGAGCCTCCAGCTTGTTGCCTTTGGGATAGATATAATTCTATGTGAAGGCAAAGCAACAACAACTCCAGGTCACATGTGTAATTCTGATGGGAAACTTAATGAAGAAATGGGATGGGGGGGTTGCAAAGTATTAAAGGATTGTGGGTTTTTTTTTTGTGAAAGTGCACTTAGCTATACAAGTAGGCATTTACACTGTTTGTGAGCACCTGACCATCACACCTATGTGAGCTTGTTTGGACATCCCATTCCATAACCACTGCCATTAATATGAAGCTGCCCCCACCCCCTTTGCAGTTATTACAGCTTCCACATGATTTTGGTTTATATCTGTAGGAATTTGGCTTAATTCGGCCATAAAAAGGATTTTTAAGGTCAGATTCTGATGTTGGACGAGAAGACCTGGCTTGTAATCGGCATTCCAGTTCATCCCAGAGGTGTTAAGGGTTGAGGTCAGGGCTCTGTGCAGGCCACCTGAGTTGCTCTATATCAGCTCATCAAACCATGTCTTTATGGAGTTGGCTCTGTGCACATGGGCACAGTTATCCAGAACAGAAAAGGGCCTTCACCCAACTGTTACTACAATTGTCTAATATGTCTTATGTTCTATAGAATTAACAGTACCCTTCATTGGAAACACCCGAACTCCAACTTGATGGGGTGTCCTCATACTTTTGGCCATATAGTGTAGCTCAAATATCTGTCACCCAACTCAGCAAGCGCAGACAGCCCTAATTAGTATTGTCCATCATAACAGTGTTTAGTTGAAAAGTTGCATTTTGCCTGAACAAGTGAACCTGTCGAGTTAAACCAACATTGCTCCATATGTGCAGTCACCTTGTGATACCCCAAAGACAGGGAAGTTAAGTTGTTAGTAACGAAGTGAAACCTTTTTCAGACATGCACACAGAGGTGGGTTTACTGGCTGATTATTTTTTTCTCTCCTCAGTATAAACTCAGGAGGGAAACAGGTTTGACGTACGGGATAAAACACATAGTTCAACCGATAATATACCACAGTGGTTGACGGAAAGCGGGATACAACAAAGACTTAAAATGCTCAATGCAAATAAAGCAGTGGGACCAGATAACCTGCACCCCAAGGTACTTGGGGAACTAAGCCAGGTTATAACAAGACCATTATTCCTAATTTTTAAGGAATCCTTAGTGACTGGTAGGGTACCATGTGATTGGCGGAGGGCTACGGTAGTTCCAATATTCAAAAAGGGGGATTAAACGGGACCTTTGGAGAGTACGTTCCTAGCACTATATAGACTTTAGACCACATTTTCCCCCTAGCACCTTTTGGCCTGCCAATATTTTTTTCCGGTACTCGCCTATACAGATTACCGATACCGGAAGTACCATTAAGGAAGCCAGGTGGCGTGTAATGACTCACCACCTGGCTTCCTGATTAGCCGGACAGCGTGTAAAGACTCGCCACCTGGCTTCTCGATTAGCAGGGAAGCCGTCCCCATGCTTCCCGTCACTATGTGACGAGGGAGCAAGGAGCCGGCTTTCTGGCCAATAAGGAAGCCGGGCAGCGCGTCATTACACGCTGCCCGGCTTCCTGATTGGCCGGGAAGCCGGCTCCTTGCTCCCTCGTCACAAGTGCTGCCCGACTTCCTGATACAGGAAGTATCGGGCTAGGCATCAGAGCATGTGTGCGAGTTCAAGTACTCGCCAAAATACTCGGCACTGATACTAGTATCGGTGCATCCCTAGTTGAAGGGTTGTGATACGATTCAAAGCAATGATTTCATCGGACATAATGTCTATATCATGGCACAGACAGAAAACATTTTATGGGCTTTTCCCCATAGCCGTACACTGCTTTGTGGTGTAGTACACCGATCATATTGATATTTTGTACTTTTTCACCTTAAGCATTGCAGACTTTGACTTTCCTGATTTGCCTTACTTCCAGAGCAATATGTTAATTCTTTTTCTGTGTTCTGATTGTGCCAAAATAGATTCACTTTCAGACTTCAAAAAACAGGATTATTTTTTTAAGCACTTAAAATCATTGCTGTCAGAGTGCCTATTGGTAATGGGAAGAAGAAGCCTCTTGCCAACCTTGGGAAAGCAGAAAACCATCGATCTGCTTTAAATCTGGGTGCATTGCTGAGAATCGTCCTTGAAGTAGCCTTTGGTTGGATTGTTACTGCATCAGAAAAGGTGTTAGTTGCAGACACGAAGGTGTCTAGTTATAAACAATCTGCTAGGCCGTTTGCCTGCCAATCTCTACCAATCTTGGTGTTGCACTAGAACAGGGGTAGGCAAACTCTGTCCCTTCAGCTGTGGTGAAACCACAAATTCCATCATGTCTCTGGGAGTCATACCTGTGGCTGTCAGGGTCTTGCAATTCCTAATGGCATTTGTAGTTGGTAAGAAAAAAATCCAAAGCGCCAATAATGACCAACAGATGAAAATGAAGTGCAAGCGAGGATAACTAGGGGTGCTGCCCCACTTCAGCCTGGGAAGCTGCAACACTATGGGAGAAAAGAAAAGAGAAGAGCGCCCACCCTAGTGTAGATGGTTTTTAATAATATGAGCTAAAGTACAAGGTAAAAACATACTCACAAAGGAGAATCAGTAAAATCATATGAGATGAGCCAGAACGATATCTGAATATCAGCTGCACAGATGCCTGTGTATCAACACAGGACTCCTTTTGATGACGCGTCAGAAGATGGAGTTGCACCACAGATGGAGAGCCAGAGTTTGCCTAGCTCTGCACTAGAGGAATGCCTGAAGCAGTTAAAGGAGAACTATGGGGTCAGGGCTGTTCCCCATAGTTCTCCTAAGGGTCACGGGACAACACAAACTAGCATTCTCCCGTGACCGAAAGCTCAGTATACCGTGAGCTACAGCTCGCGGTATACTGAGACACCGCACTTGGAACGGATCCCGACATTGCTGTCGATGTCCACCCAGCTGCGGGATTGACAGCTGGCTCTGCCTATCCAGGTGCAGAGCCAGCTGTGCCCGCCCCCTCCCCCGTCCGTTGCGCCAGTCAGCGCTGGAGGATCGGACAGGGGGGGAGAGTCACTTCCCGATCTACTGAGCCGACCTGTGACGGCTTCATTGTCACAGGTCGGCTCAGATTATGAGGCTGAGTGAAAATCACTCACTTCATAATTCTCCTTTAAGTAGATGGAAAACATTTTGTCAATGAGCATTGGCTTTTATTTGAGGTGTGCCTATGTCCTAGTTGGGCATAGCTTAGCCAGGGGCAGGTCCAGCAGCCATTTTTTAGGTTGTCCTCTAGAGAACTGGCTGCGACATTGCTTGGAAAAGCAAAGCAAAGACTAGGTGTGGACGCTAGCCCTCAAGTTTGCCCTTTACATTGGGAGCCCACTCCTTTCAAATCAGAGTGTTCTCTCTTGCAGTAGGAGCCCCCCTTTACATTTCTATGAATTCTAATAAATGGGGGGTGGAGGGCTCAGTTGTAATATACACAGATTGCTTGCAGAACAAAGAGGCAGCCATTTCCATGAGGTAATGAAGAGGAAAGCTAACCAAAAAACTTACATTTCTGTGTTCATATACAGCAACTGCATATGTCTGCTTCATGTGCTGGCATAGGTTTTTTTTTTTAAAACCACTCCACAAAGGTGGAAATGGCCTTTAAGCTTACAGGAAGTGACAAAGGGCACTGCATTTCTAATATGTTTATCAAGATCAGCAGGTATTTCCTGTACTTTCTGAAAATATTCATAGCCCGAAAAAAAAGCCTATGCATCCACCACATCTAAGGACTGGTAAGCTGCCACATATTACATTTTTGGTTTTGGGTTTATATATACTTTAAAGCCCAGGGAATTAAAATACACTTTTTTTGTTTGTAAGCACGTAAGTGTAGACAAATGCTGTAATGAGGGTCGCGCATATCAAACATTGTTCATGTGATATATCAACCCCAGTGCTCATGTTCTGTGTTGGCATTAGTGCCTTTATATTCAGCGAATAGATCAGCAAAACATTAGTAACACACGGCACGTCAAAGAGTGAAGCTTTCTGCAGCTTGGTTCTGAAAGACAATGCAAGGCTGCTTACAAATTCCAGAAGATGCCTGTTGTGTCAATAGCTCCGGGTCCTTCACGTTGTCATTATCCATCAGAAGACAAATGTTTCCTTGTTGGCACATCAGCAGTCCTTGTGTACATGCCAAAAGATTTGTGAAGGCCTCATGCTTGAAGAAAACTTCACAACACGTTATCTACAAGAATTATTCTAACCATGGAACTAAATATTTGGGCAGTGGCTAAAAAAAAATAAAAAGTGAAGCGATATGACAGGACAGTTTGAAATCCATCAAGCTTAAAGACCCATGTGGAGATGTCATTGCTGCATGGAGGAGAAGCTGGGACATGCTCAGAAGGGATTGGTCAGATAGTTGAAAGAACACCCATTACATTGTTGAAATCTTCTCTTCTCAAAGTTGATGTTTGTTTTTAGCGTCAGAAATTTTGGCAAACAATACAGTAATTCCTGAAAAATGTATTTAAAGCATGTAAAAGGTAGTAGTCAATCACTGACCCTGAACTGTAACATAACTCCGAAACCTAATTCTTAAAAGAGAACTATGGGGTGACCTTTTTATGCCATAGTTCTCTTTAGGGTCACGGGAGGACATATACTCACCTCCTCCGGTGACCCAAAGCTCATTATATAGCGAGCTATTGCCCACTATATACCTAGAGCACCGCAGCCGGGACGGATCCTCACAATAATGTCGAGATCCACCCAGCTGTGTGAGTGACAGCTGGCTCTGCCTATCTAGAGGCAGAGCCTGCTGTGCCCGCCCCCTTCTCCATCCATTCCTCCAGTCAGCGCTGGTGGATTGGAGAGGGGGAATCCCTGCGGGGAGCCATGACTGACGGTCACCGCTCTCTGCAGGGAGATGATCGGAAAGTGAGCGACGAAGGTATGTGTTCGCTCACTTCCCGATCTATTGAGCCAACATGATGACAGCTTCTTTGTCACAGGTCGGCTCGAACTATGAGGATGAGTGAAAATCATTCACCTCATAGATCTCCTTTAACTGTTAACCTTCGTCCCTTCACTTCCTTATTGGAAGCCAAGAGATACACCTGGTACTTCTTGGTATGTACATCTCTGTTTTAATGTATGATTTGTTTTTATAAATATGAATAAAGGGATGCACAGATACCAGTTTTGCGAGTACGAGTACTGGTACTTGCCGAGTACTAACAAGTACATGTACTGATAAATTTTTGTTTATTGTCATGTGACAGTTTTTCTAAAGCAATACAGACTAATGATTTCAGGACAGTGGTGGAGCGCCAGAGCCCGGTCCCAGCTGCAACCCTGGTAGTTCTCATGAAAATACCAAGTATCGGCATTGGTACTCAAAGTATCTGTGCATCCCTACTCATTACTATTCATCCCACGTGACAATACTGGTGCATGATGATTGGACCCTCAGGCACCAAGTCTTGTTTATTGGGGGTAGAGAGGTAGGCCTCAGCTCTATGCAAGTGACAATTTGTAACTTGGAATGAACACAGGGATTGCTCTGCTCACTCCATCGGACAAACAAACTGGTGGGGGAGTGAATGGAAGGCAAGCATGTGCAGCAGGCCTGAAGTGACCCTGTTGCTTTGTCATGCACAGACAAAGCAACTGATCACTTTAAGCCAACAATGTACCAAATTTTGGTTGGGTTTGCCAAAAGCTCAACACCAGTATGCAGTGAAGCCGGGGGGATTTTATCAAAACTGCAGCAGACTAAATCTGGAGCAGACTTGCACTGCAACCAATCATCTTCTTTGTCTCATTTTCAAATCTTACCTGAGCAAACTGAAGAGAGATGCTAATTGGTTGCTATGGGCAACTGCTCCAGATTCTGATCAATTTGCCCCATTGTATTTTATTTCAGTGTAAAGCTAAAACCTGGCATGCGGTGGGAATGTCTGCTTTGTCAGCTGATATTTGGAAAATAGGTACGGTATACAGTTGGACTCACTGGAAGCATCTCTGGGTGTCAGGCGCTGGGGCAGTTGTACTAATTCTGCGGGCTATGAAAAGTGTAGTTACTCTCTATAATGTAGTCATATGGCGTAAGAAAAGGTAAATAGATAATAAGAATACGATTATTATTTTGCATTCACGCTATTTGCAAAGCTATGAAGACTCGTGTCTGTCCCGTAACTCAATCCTAAAGCTAAGGGTAATACTAATGAAGTGTTCTTCTGCTATCAGCCCAACGGCCCAATATTTCCTCTAGATGATGGATCATCATTGGTGCAATTTACTCCCTTTCCATAACCAAGGTTGGCGCTGATGCTGGGTAATCAGGCCTGGCTCGCAGTCTCCGTTCCATCTCATTTTACGGTCGCTCTGCTAGGTTGAGGTCAAGGCTCTGTGTAGTTGGCATTGCGATTTAGTCCAAATGAACAGCTTGACCAAAGCAACTCAACTTTTTTTATTCCACTTTATAACAAATTGTGGCGCCACATCATTTCTCTGTGTGTGTTCTTTTCTGGACCTTTTCACTCTATAACAGGAATGTGCCAGATATAAGCAGCGACTGAAATATTATATGTGAAAGTGACCGTCTGTATATGGCTGTGTTGTGTCAGGTGGACGAGTCTCATTTTTCCCCTGGCTCTGCAATAAACTTAAGTGCTCTTATCACCTGATTTCACCTTCTTCAAATGTCAGTGACCAGATGACAATCACTTACCTTTGTGAATTACACTGACATCCAGACTCGTATGGAAAAGGGGAAATTATTACTAGAATGATTTTTCTTTTATGTTTTGCAGATCATGTGCAGAACGAGGAGAACTATGCCCAGGCTTTAGATAAATTTGGAAGCAATTTTTTAAGCCGTGACAATGCAGATTTGGGCACGGCGTTCGTAAAGTTCTCCACGCTCACTAAGGAGCTATCAACACTGCTCAAGAACCTGGTAAGTGGACAGCAAATTGGTTCAAACATTTCCTTATGCAGAACTAAACTAACATGTATTAAGGCTGAGAATACAAAGAGCTGGATGCAGAAATGTACCGGTTGTCACGGTGGCTTTGACCTTGTTTTGGCCACCATTTTTGATGTTGTCTCATGAAGGAAGGGGAGTCCACAGACAGAATATTGGTAGTCAACAGGCCTGGAGTTTTTATGGTGTGGGCTGAACGTTGCAGGTTTGTTTTTTTGATCACTATAATGCAAAGAGAAGCAAACACTAGCACTGTTTCTGGCCTGGGACCTTTCACCAACCACCCTATTTTGAAGCCAGTATATTGGAAGCTATGGTGGCTTATGCATAGGGCTTGAAAACCCGTCAGAGCCAGACGAGTAGCTTGCCGGGCGTCGTAAATAAACGGCCGGCCAGGAGCTTTACGTCTCTAGAGACGCCCGATCGCTTGTATTAGCAGTAGCTGTCACTGCCATTGCCGGTCCCAAGATCCGCTGTGCCTCGTGCGGCCAGGACCGGCACGGCTGCTCTGTGACAGGAGATTAAAGGGAGATTGGTACACGATCTCCTCTACGTCCCCGAATGCAGGAAGTGATGTATATTACATCAATTCCACATTCTGCTGTCACTCTCCAGCTTTAGAAGCTGGTGAAGCAGATCTCTGCTTCATTAGCTTCTCTGGGGGTCCCTAGGTGACATTAGGGGTCTTGGAGAGCCCGCCATGTGATAGCAATAAAGTTAAGTGTAAAAAAAATAAAAGAGTAATACAAAAATGAAAGAAGCATAAAAAATAAAAAAAATCCCCTGCCCCCCACATACACACGCAAACATGCATCGGGTGCGCCTACGTGTGAGAACATCGATTGCGCCTATTGTGCTGCACATGTTACATATTGCCGCAAATGTCGGAGAGCAAATCATTCTATGGCCATTATTCACTGGTAACATTAACCCCTTCGTGACTGACGACGTACAGTGTACGTCGCCAGCATCGGGGCTGTAAGCAGTAAAAGCGTTTAAATCGTCGCCTAGGGCCAATTTTCTATGGTCTATTTTTTGCAATTTTGCGGGCGCACGCAATTTTAAGGCTAAACATGTTTGGTGTCTATTTACCCGACGTGAGATAAAGCAGAGACACCGGCACTCCAAATTTGCAAAATACGTCTATTTATCGACGTGCATCTTGGCAAAAAACCACAATGCAATAAATAGACGTATTTTACAAATTTGGAGTGCCGGTGCCTCTGCTTTATCTCACGATTGTTACGGCTGCTACCCGTTGATTACCGCAGCACCCAATTCTTGAAGGGATTTACGTGGTCAGGAGCGCGATGGGACCATGGACTATCTATTTACCCAACGTGACCCTGTCTTTTATAGTCTACCATTAATATGGGTAAGAACAAATGTTTTTTAACATAACGTAGCGAAAACATTTTTTTTTCTCAATTTACTGTACTTTTTTCATTATAAAGTAAAAGATAACCCCCCCCCCAGTGGTGATTATATACCTCCAAAAGAAAGCTCTATGTGTCCCTAAAAAATGTTAACATAAATTGTAAGGCTATAGTCCGGTCATACTGACTGGTGAGACACCCTCAAATTTTTCAAGCCCTGCTTATGGATGTTATGAAGAACCATACAGTTATACTCATTTATTAGTTTTTATTTATTATG